TACAAGTAATACACAACCATCAATTCAATATTCATGTGATAAAAATGTAATGTCTTATTGTCTTGTAAAATAATGTATATGTGAGTAGTAGAGTTGATTACTGGATCATGGGTTGAGCCAAAATGGCAAGATAAAACAATTGGCATTATGACATAGGCATCTAACCAAGCTTAATTTAACAATACTTTATATGTTAATAAGCATGAGATCGTTCTTGGTAAAATCTAACTAGACTATAGCGTAAATGAATTTTTCTTAAATAATCTTACAAAGACTGCTCAATTAAGATACGATTGAGAGTGATGGATAACTCAAGTGATTAAACCTTCCCTCTCGATTTCAGGTGATCCAGGGTTCGATTTCTCATCACTCACCCTTGTTGCTCTCTAAACACCAAAAAAAAAAAAAAAAAATACAATCATTTGCACTCATTGTGATCAATTGAACTATCATGCATACCCCCATATATGTACTTGAAAACCATATCAGAATACCCAACTTAGGGCTTATTTAGTTTGCCTTATTTTTGCTTATCTGATCTGGTATGATCTAATCTATAAGGAAAAAATACCCAACTTAGGGCTTGTTTAGTTTGCCTTATTTTTGCTTATCTGATCTGGTATGATCTAATCTAATTGTTTGATTTGACCAAACTTTGACCTTGAGTGTACGATAATTTATAAGGAAAAAATATATCAAGTGGGGTCTTGTTAGATTCGTAATAATGTGTATTTTATTAATATGTAATTTTTTCATAATTTTTTTCATTACGAAATTAAAGATATAAAACTACACATAAAACGATGATCTAATCTGAACTTATTTTTTTTCCGATCCGAACTTATTTAGATTGATCTGATCTGAACTTATTTTTTCTGAAATAAGTAAGAATAAGTTGAACTAAAGAAGGACTCAATTGAATCAATTAGGTTAGTTTCAAACTCTTGGCTATAACTTGAGATTCTAATCTCATACTTCATACGAACATCAAAAAATTAAAGCAAAACACAATGTTCTAACAAGAATAGTAAATTACTTTTAGATACATATACTCCAAAACTAAAAGGAGATCTAAAAATTAAAATGGGTTTAAATTTGAAAAGAGTTCTCTAAATTTTTATTTTCCATTACTCTAAATAATATCAAATGTTGCTTAATTTTTTTTTTTTTTTAAAAAAAAAACGAATGGGAGCACAGGCACGAAGCACTCAAGCCAAGATTAAAAAAAAAAAAAAAAAAGAGAGAGAGAGAGAGAGAGAATGGATGTCATTCCTGATCCGACAAGTGGACAAAGTCACAACTTTACTGCCTTTCCATTGGTAGGCAAAAGGTTAATTTCACTTACAAGGATCCTCTCTTTTCTTGCCTTTTTTTGGGGGGTTTTCTTAATTAATCTTTTTTTTACAGCTGTTAACTAGTAGTAAATTCTTTGTTTAATTCTCTTTTGTAAACAAATTTGACAGCCTCTTTCAAGGTAATTATATCACTGTCTAATTATAATCCTAGAAATACATTATTATTATGGAGTATATAAATAAACATAATTACATTTGACCGTTAGTTAATCTTATTATAAGTAGAAGAATTTTGGAAAGCAATTAGACATGTTAATCGAAATAATTTTAAACTATAAACTAATTAATACTCATAAGTGATACCGTTAAAAAGTTGCAAATGCCATTTTTATCACTATAATTTATTCCGTCATATGGTTGTACTCGTACAAACAATTGTTCTATGTGAAATACTACGTAGTGAAATTTCATATATAATATTGAGTCATCCTGAATAAGCAGAATAAATGTTAACTTTGTTTAAGCCTTTAAGGGTGATATAATCCTCTAATTGAAAATTGCTATATTCAATCACCAGATAATCTAGTCACATAAAATCAGCTTATAAAATAATATTTCGTTGAAATCTTCTTGTAATTTACTGTTAAATAAGTATTGGCGAATTAATTATGTCACTTTGCACATGCGCAGGCGATATGATACTGATTGCCAGATTATTCCAAAACAAAAGAGCTCACCTACTTTAATCATTTCTAATCTTGCTAATTATTTACCCCTTTTTTACTACCAAAAAAAAAAAAAAAAAAACCTTTTAATTAATTATGTATACAACTCTTAAAATAAAAATTAAACATTTAATACATTTTATAACAAATATGATATTATGTATAAACGTATGACAGAATCATTTGTCGATCTATTAATACTTAATCAACCAACATATGATCTCGCTTATTATTTGTTAGAACCCTTGTGATTGTATATGTCATTTTCTTTTACTTATTTACAAATGCAAATGGGTAGTTAGATTACTTGATTGTTTGACCACACACTAACAGAGAGAGAGAGAAAACCATGCATGATGCCAATCAAATAGATGAACATGGGTATGGCGCATGAGGAGACATATCAAAGACATGAAAATTTTGGACCACTCTTGTAAATTATTTTTCTATACCAAAAAATAAAAATAAAAGCATGCCGTGTGTCCAATTTTATGAAATTATCATGACATTTTGTAAAGTTTGCAGCCTACCCAGGAGCATAAGCTATCATTTAGAACATGCAACCCAAAGACAACACTAGTATTATTACTACTTCTCTTAGGTTCCCAATTTGATCATCAGTTCATGCGGTTTGAACTCTCTTTTTTCAACAATTATCTTTTACATGCGATTTCATCTTTACATGTCATTTATTTTGTTAAATTTGCATACTTGCAAGGTTGTTGAAAGTACATGTTTGTCTTCTTGGTCTGGAGATCAGATCGTAGAAGATATAATAGATTTTTAAATTAAACAATATTGATATTTAAATTAAACAATTTAACACACCAAATCAAACAATTTTTAGAGAATTTTAGGATTCTAATGTCGAAAACAAGTAATGGTGAGAGTGCGACTAATTAAGGTCTTAAAGTATTGTTTATTTGAAGACCTTAAATGTCCACTAGTTAGTCACATAAAGCAGGTTTGTGAAGCCCTTGAGTCAATGGCAAGCTAAGAGGCGTGTTCGTAACGTGTTAAATTATTAGTTGTGAAGCAATTTATATGGTTTCAATCATTCAAGTGGCCTCCCAAAGTTTTGTGGGTTCCATTAGAAACATATTATTTTTTATTCTTTTGATTGAGACCGAAAAAGTCAAAATATCTAAATAATTGAAGACTATAATTCACTTGAGAGGTATAGGAAATTCGAAAAGGTAAGGAAATTATCTATCTCTAATCTCAAGCATCCTCATCACTTAGCAATATTCGAACTCTAAATAAATTTCTAAGAAATGAGATAGGAACCTTACATTATATTATCAAGTGACCCAAGACGTTGTATACCAAACAAATACCATATAATTGAGTTATTGAGTACAAAACTTTAAACCATATCCCTTTAGTTTGTAGGTACTAGGTAATAGATGATCATTTTAGAATATGACAGGCTAATTAAGTGAATGCATGAACCAATATAGACACGAAAGTCTGGTTAAATGCAGCTTAATATGCACATGATATGGCTTTTCAATCATTTCCTAGCGATGCTTCAATAAGTTTTTGATGAATAGTTGATCTTTCATAATGTTTGACCATGCATCATTGAATTTTGAAATTTTATTCCATCCGAAAGCAGAGAAACACCAAACTTCTTGTTTACAACTCTCAATTCTTGATTATATTCAGTCCATTTGAACTACTGGCTAATTATTAAGATAAACTTCTTCAACACTAAGGTGATACATTAGTAGGTAGCCTTTCAATTTCATCATATTCCTATTACGTCAACTATTAACTTTTATGAATTTGAGATACATACTAGATTAGTAGATTGTCTTGATGAAATATAATAAGTTGCATATGATTACACTATGGCCGTTTCCGGTGATCGTTGCTTCTTAGCTTTTTGATTGGTTTTTGGCTTGTGTTTAGAATTTTTATGTGTCCAAATGACATAAAAAAATGTTCGAAGAAATGACTAGGACATCTTTATAATCTCTAGATTTTAGTTGTTTTATAAAAAAGTATTATTTAATCCATCAATTAATTTTATAAAATATCTTATTAAATAAAAACTTTCATCGATTAATTAAACAAATCAACCAGTCAATAACAATTGACAACCAAACAACACCCTACATCTCAATCACCTAACTCATACCTATTATATATGAATACCACATTGGGTCATGCAATTAGTGCCAAAAGGTTGCGTCTTTAGCCTCAGCTCAGGCCCTTACCAGCAATTCAGCACATAAAAAATATTTCCAATGTTAATGGTTTTGATTTTTGAAGCAAATGAAGAGACATGATTATCTAAACTCCACGCTCTCTTCTTAAAGCTGATTACTAATTAAATTAGTGATTACTACTCCATAACACATCTTACAAAAAAACACTAACAATTTCTTTTAATTTAATTTTAAAAGTCTAATTTCACCCAAAACTTCCATCGTTTTCCATTATTTCCCCTATTACATTCACTTTAAATTAATAATATAATCACATTTAATTAACCAAATCTGCAAACAAAATGAGACTTTTATTTAAGAACGGATGTAATATATCTTTAAAAAAAAAAAAAAAAAATTGATATCGAAAACCGAAGCCCCACAAAAGGACAAAGTTACCCCCATCCAATTGCAGCACACATGTGGGTTCAACACTCCAACACCCTCCCCATTCCCATTCCCATTCCCACATTCTCCCTCTTCTCTATGTAATACATTCATTCACCATACTCCCATTTTGTGGATTCTAGTTTTAGTCTTCATTACTTTCTCTCTCCTCTCTCTCCAATTTTCACCTCTATTTCTAGTGCTTTCACTACATCCCACGAGCTTCCACTTGCTCTTCTTTTTTCCCCTTCATTCTTCACTCCAATAATCAATCACCCCTTTAATTTCTTCTTCTTCTTCTTATCTTCTTCTATAAGCTCTCCTCCCATAACTCATTTCCTCAATCATACCATTAAAACTTTACTTTCTCTTTCCTCCTAATGGCGAGAGAAACTACTTGGTTAAGCAGACTCAAATCACAAATTTCTCACAAACTTATTCATCCAACTACAAAACTAGCTAGATCAAAATCTAGGAATGTTGGAGTTTTAGCTTTTGAGATTGCTGGTCTTTTTTCCAAGCTTCTTGCGCTACACCAATCTTTATCTGATAGGAATATTGTCCGTCTTAAGAATGAGGCTATCGCCCTCGAAGGAGTTCGAAAGATAGTCTCTAATGACGAGTCTTTCCTTCTTGGGTTGGCATGTGCCGAGATGGTTCAGAATCTTCATGTTATTTGTAAGGCCGTAGCACGGTTGAGTGACCGTGCTACGGATCCTACACTCCGGTCTTTTTTGGAGTGTTTGGAGGATTTTGCTAGCACAGGGCGGGACCATCATAATTGGGCCGCCCTGTGCGGGAAGGACCTAGAAGGGTTGGTCCGGAGGATAGACCGGTACATCGCAGCTACAGCTGCGCTGTACCGGGAGATAGAGGAGCTAAACTCAATACAAAATAGTTTAAAGAAAACGCCTCCGGAAGGCGCGTTAGAGGTCCAGCAGAAAGTAGTGTGGCAAAAGCAGGAAATCAAGTACGTGAAAGAGAAATCGCTTTGGAACCGAAGTTATGATTCGGTTGTCCTTCTTTTGGCTCGTTTAATATTTACTGTCCTTGCAAGAATTAAGTTTGTGTTCAGGATCGGACAGAGTTACTACCCTCATCCAAGCACGCTTCCCAGGAGTCTCTCTGCTTCGGCTACTGTATTTCCTTCATCGGATCTTAGTGGCAACCATAATTCTTATGTGTCAGGGCCGTTAACATCCACCCCACTCCGCCTCAACAAGAGGATGACTACAATTGGATCAGGGACTGGAAATAGAGTTGGGTTCTTTGAGTCTAGAACCAAGGACTTGACGCCACCCCCTACTACTTTGGGAGCGGCAGCCTTGGCGTTGCACTACTCTAACTTGATCATTGTCCTAGAGAAGATGATCAAGTCACCTCACTTGGTGGGGCTAGACGCGAGGGAGGATGTTTATGCTATGCTCCCAAATAGCATAAGATCCTCTCTACGTGCCAGGCTAAAGGGGGTCGGGTTCTCAGCAACCGACCCCGTTTTAGCCGCAGAGTGGAGGGACGCCCTCGGGCGAATCCTCACTTGGTTGGGTCCATTAGCACATAACATGATCAAGTGGCAAAATGAAAGAAGCTTTGAACAACAAAATCTAATGCCGAAATCAACCAATGTTTTGTTATTACAAACACTATATTTTGCCAACAAAGACAAAACTGAAGCTGCTATTACAGAATTACTAGTTGGGTTGAATTACATATGGCGATTCGAGCGCGAAATGAATGCAAAAGCCTTGCTAGAATGCTCCAACTTCTTCTTCAACACCAAAAGTAGTTCTCCTATCAATAATCTACAATCTTAGTATCATATTAACTTGTAATTTTGAGTTATCTTCCCAGGGGTTGATTTGATTGATATTTAGCTGTTAATTACTTTATTAATTAGAATTCAACTCATAAAAATGGGTGGATTGAATTTTGAGATCTCATTGATTGATGAGATCGATCAAAGGGTCTTCTAAGAAAAATCTGACCCTTAATTTGTATAGTTTTGTAGTACTTGATCCTAATACTTACTTCTATAGTACAAAATTTAAGTTTGTTGTTGTACGTGAATATGATGGTTGAGTGAAATATAAGAAAAATAACTACTATTACTATAATAGTATATGATATAATTTCATTAAAATTATACTATATGATTTCCTACCATGTGAAATTGTTCTTTCTTGCAATACAATTATAATTACAGCTTGTCATTCTTTTGACATAGACCTATTATTTTCATTACCACATTTTAATGAATTCAATTACACACCATTATATCAATCAAGCAGTGAGGTACCAAATCAAAATCGTTTCTATTTTTCAATCTTTTCTTATCTTAGCTACTACGATACCAATATCGAAATGATTGAAAAAATAACGTCATTTTTTGTTAAAAAATTATTTCTATTCTTTTATTTATTTATTTTCATGGTGAACAAATGTTTTTGAATTGATTCGAAATTTTAACAAAAAAATAAAAAGAAAATCTTTGACGGTCATACTGTGATTCTAGGTTTACTAACCTAGATAATATTTATCTAATAGCGTGCGTTCTTGAAATTATTGAGTGGGAAAATCGAAAAAGGTATGTAATGTGAAGTACAGTATCATCAAACGTAATACCGTACTATTATGAGTACGCGTATTTTCAACCTTGCAGTATGATTTCAGCATGCAGAATTTTGTAGAATTATTTGGTACCTTATTACGGAGTACTTAAACTACGCATTAATAACTGACATTAGTCTTTTAGTTTGAATTTTATTTCATAATGCAAATTTGTAAAAGATTTGAGAACTCTTTTATACTCATATCTTTATTTCTTGGTAAAATGAATACTTCAGTTTGTCACTAAAGACAATTCAAGAAAAAGATTCGCATTACAGCTGAAGAACAATAAAGACAAATAAGATACAAGTATATTGCAAACTCTTAGAAAGTAAGAGACAATCATACCTGTCAAAAGACCTATACTACTACTATAAGCTATAAATCTAAATCTAGAGGTTTCAAATTGAATTTATATTTTATTTGGTTTGGGTCATATTAGGTGATGATCAAGTAATTAGGTTTGATATTGGCTCGAGTGGTCATAAGCTCATAATTGATGGTTCGTTTGATATTCATATTTTATTACTAGTCATATTAAATTTCAGTCGGAAGAGCTTTGGTAGAGTTCAAAATTGGGTTCCATAGTTTGGCATATACCTTGAATTATTATATAATTTATTTTGAGTGATTAAATATTTAGATACTAGTTAGTTTTATCATGTTTATGAAATAGTAGTATAACAAATGAAAGTTAAATTAGGACTATTTTGCTTGAGGGGAGTAGAAAAAGCGTAGCTAGGACTCTAGGAGCCTACGACGATTACTTTGAGGTACGGGGAATTTTTGATTTTTTTTTTTTTTTTTTTTTTTTTTTAAATATAATTTGAAATCTTGATTCTTAATTAGCAAAATGGAGGGACTATTTGGTGCAAAATAGTCAACATATATGAAAGTATTAGAAAAAAGTAATGGAAAATTAATTACATTAAGGGTAATCTCCACTATTAATTGGAATCTATAAAATGATTAGTGCTCTCTAAAAGTCAAAAAGTATAACAGTGAAGTATCTAGCTATTAGTGCTACATACATAAAAACTTTAGGTTATAAATAATTTTGATAGGCCTAAGCAAGCTAAGGTCACATATATTGAATAGTATACTTTCGGCTACAAAAAACAGTTAGTTCAAGTTTTGCTTTTAGCCGTTTTAATAATTTGAGGTTAGTTAAGTAGATGCTAATTTTATAGGGTACGAATATAATTTACTGGTCTTCTTGTTCTAGCTTTGCGAGAAGACTAGTCTTCATGCATGTTTAATAGTTAATATTGATTAATGAACATGTGAGCGAAATACTAGATATAGGGTTAAGATTCCTTATTCCCTTAGATTGATGTTATTGAATAGAATAAGAAGATTAAGCCGAATTAGGAAAGATTATTTAATGTCATATCTATCATTCATGACGATGTCTTTAGGTTAATTTCACTAAAGACTACCTTTCTTTCCAAGGTTATATTGTGACATATGATAGAGAAGTATTCAATTTATTTAAAAGTGAAGGGACAACGGAAATTTTGTTGTTCACCTAAACTACTCTTTATACATTATCAGTAAGATGAAGATGATTCAATTGTGAATTATTCTTCAATGTTCCGTACATCAAAAGCTATACAACTTGTGTGTCACTTTTTAAAGCAAAGACAAATGCCTAAACACTTAACTTACCTCATTAGCGAATTCTGATCCAAAAGCCCATAACAAATAACTCGCTGCTTGCTTGTTTCCGGCCCAAAAGGCCTGCTGTAAAGCCCACTTATAAGCTGCTGCATATTTTTCTTCCTGGTCCACAGTAGCATGCCTAATTATTTTCTTGCATTCTAAAGAAGAAACCTTGCAGAAAACATGGCCTGCTTTCTGTAAGTGTGTTTAAATGGCTGAGTATTTAGATTTAACTACCATTCACAAGAGTTAATTACCACTAAACAGATCCATAGATGGCGAAAAGCCGAAATCAAGAACAAAGTGCCTTAGTAACGAAAAATGCTCTCTCTTATATGGCACTTCTTTAACATGTTGATAATTCATTAGCTGTTCTCGAACTTATGTCGCGTTCTTGGCTAGACAAGGACATACATCAATCTAGCCTTACACTAATGTCCTTATTTCTCAGATTGCTTAACATAATTCTTTGCACCCACTGACCCACATTATATATATCTTGAGAGTTTGCTCAATTTTGTTTCGTATTCACTGCATTCTGCCATTCTTGTATGATCAAAACTTTCAAAGCAAAATCCTTTTATTATAATTTTGTAATTTTAAATCACTGTTTATTGTACAGGCTAGTGATATGAAAAATGATGTATTGTTCTTATGTTCTATTACTTGAGCGTTCAATTAAGAGTTCATACAGGTCATGACTCACAAGAGCAAATCTTGGAACTTACTGTACAGTTCACCGGAGATTTGGATGTTAATTTGTCACCTCATTCTGTTGTTTTGATGCATCAATTTTGTTATAGTTTATTCCATTAGGCAGCAATAATTTCAGGTCAGCCCAATTCCTGCTCTAATATTCTAAGCACATCAGCATTTAGCCACTGGACTCATTTCACTTTCGTAGCTTAGCACCAATACAATCACCACTAATACAGTGCTCCATCAGAATGTTTAATAGTTTTAAATTGTTCAAGTACTTATATACAAATAACCAGTAAAACAAGAGCATACAAAAAAGTCGAGGTCAAAGTATACAAGACAGACAGCTCTAAAATGTCAGGAATTACATGGAAAATCAGAAAGTATTTTCTACACAAGTAGGAATTCAATCACAAGCTGCTTTTCTTTGAAATCAAAATGAAGAGATACATACAAGATGAAAAAATATGCATTTTGGCAAGAATCTAAAATTACATTGGCATTTGGTAAGAGAGTTGACATGGTTCCATCATGAGGAAGAGCAGCTCCTTGTTCTGTGACTTCTGTCACATGTTATTGCCCATTCACAGTTCAGAGTATTGAGTTCTGGAGTCTGGACACTTCTCACGAGGGCGATGGCCTGCAGCATGAGCACCATAACTTTAATGCAGTTAGGTTCAGAGTAAGCAATTTTAGCGGTTTTAGAAAAGGTGATGAGTATTTACATGAGCCAAGTTCACAAAACTTTGCCTACTAACTTTTTAGTGCAGGAATCTGCCTTACCTGAAAATAAAGTTAAGACGAAAATGTTACATTAAGAGCAGAAATTAGCTTTGTTTTAAGGGTTTTTTGATCAAATGCAGCCAGGTGGATGAGACAAGGAACCCAAAAACTAGTTCAGACAGTTGTAGCTTCCTTGCCTTGAAAATTAGGAGACAGGAATTCCCAGCAGTGCTCATAGGAGTAATGGACTTCACAACAGATGGCAAAAACTCACAAACAATTTGTGCTAGCTCAATAGTTTGAGAAGCACCATATCAGTCATCAGGTTGAGTAGGCAACCTGCACCAAGTTCAGGAATTCTGCATGATAATGAGCAGACACATTAATAAACGAGTTCAAGAGCCTCAAATAAACAGAATAACATACACATAAAAGAGGAAGAATTAATACGGAGTATAAATAAATTACAAGACCAAGAGTAGAGAGGGAGATGACACAACATTAAGTCAATATCAAGAATAAATGAAAATCATCTGTAAACTTGTAAGTATAATTTTCTTGATCAACATTTTTTTTTTTTTTTTTTTTTTTTTTTTTTTTTCACATTTTACTCTGGCTCACTAATATTCATTTGCTACTATGAGTAATAAAGAGACTAAAGATTTAAAGGTCATAATTCTTAAGAAAATTGAAAGCATGGAAAAGAAATTGAAATAAATCCTACAGCTGTAAATCAAAGAGCATTTAAAAGTACATAAATTCAAGGAAGGAAATGCGCACCCCTTAAGGATAGGTAACTCCTGAGGACTGAGCATCAATGTCTGGACATACAAGGAATGTACTTGTACTTCCTCCATTCAATAATATAGTACTCCTTAATTCCATTTTGACGGTCTTCTAGAGGGTACCTATGACCATCAATATCTTTAGTTACGTAATTATTAAATTACACATTGAGACGAAGCAATCACTATATATCACAAGGCTATTAAATAATTCATGAATTTTTATGGCATAAGTAGTGAAAACTTGGAGGCATTAAATGCATTAATTATATAAATCAATGAACAAGGAAAGCAATTGGAAATTTAGTCAATTGAAAAAATCCTAGGGAAAGAAGACTTACTTCCAACGCAAATAAAGGGGATGTGTTGAACGTAAGGCCAATCCTCCCCTGGAGGATCTATTTGAAATCTTCTGTCCAGACTTTCTGAACACTGGAAAACATCAAGTTTCCTGAGAGAGGTGAGTTTGGGCAACCAATTCGGCATTGCTTTTATTTGTCCGCAATTAAAAATTTCCAGGATTTTGAGGTTAGTCAAGAATTGCATCCGGTCAGGCAGATTTACCACCTCATTGTCACCATCTATTTTCAGTCTCTCAAGACACTGTAAAACCTCCATAGGCAGCAAATTTAGCCATCTCACATTGTCTGTTCCTACCTTCCTTAATTTGGGAACTGGAAAAACAATATGATTCGAAGTAGTTGTGGATGAGGGACCTAGAGGAACACAAGTTAGCTCAGGGCAGCCCCTTATTTTAAAAGTCTTCAGTGCAGAAAGACATGGTATCAGTTGTGAGTTACTGCTGCTATCTTCCACCCCTCTTCTCCATCCTTTCAGCTTCGGCAGATTGGATAGCCTAAGTTTTTCAAGGGAAGGAAAGAATGATACTTGTTCTTCAGAATTACTTCCCAGCCTAGACAATGTGGAATCAACACATAAAAGACTTTCTTTCTCTATGTACTCCAAACTTGCCATATCATCAAGACTGAGTGATTTCAGATGAGGCAAATTTCGCAGGCATGGCAAGAACTTTAACTCCTCACAATATTCAAGATGAAGCAATACAAGATTAGTGAGAAGGGATACCCAACCAGGCAATATTTCACCATGGTATCCCCACACATCTAACATCTTCAGATTTGAATGTGGCTGGAGATCTTCCATTAAATTTAATATTGCCTCTTTATCCATTTTTCTATCAGCTTCTGAGTCATCTCTGGAATCCTCCTCCTCCACATAATCATCCTCCTCCTCATAATCCTCATCGAAGGTGAAAACAAACTCAATGGCATCAAGATGTTTCAGATAACTCAGGTATAATCCTTCCCTCCTACTGTCATCTTTAACAATTTCCACAGCATTTTCAGGCCACCTGATGCAAATTCGAAGAGAATCTTTGAGATTTCTGAGAGCCTTTAGGTCCTCCAGCCCATAAAACCATTGCTCCCAACTTAAACAACTACCTTTACCACCCACTACAAAATCACTAAGCTCCTTGAGACAAGTCAACTTACTCATGCCCCCAGGCATATATTCTAGCTTATCGCATTCTTGTATATCCAAAAACCTAAGCTTAACCAGCCTCCTCAAATCTTTTGGCAACTCTTTCAAATTCTTACAACCAGTTAATATCAAGGTTTGTAGATTATAAACTTTAGTAATAGACTTAGGAAGCTTTACCAACTTTGAGTTAGAAAGATCTAAGTACCTCAAATGCAACAACTTACCAATGGAGTCGGGCAACCTTTCTATATTTGACCCACATAGCTCCAATGCTCTTAGGTACCTACAACTTGCTAGAATCTCTTCTAATACCTTCACCGGAAATGGATGAACTTCTTTAAAATAGGACCCAGCAAAAAGAGAACGAATATGGGTCTTACCCCAAGAGTATTTGCCATATCCCCCCACACAGGCAACTGAGAGATGACGAACTTTTTTATCTAGATTGCTACTAATGGTATCCGTTGTATAGACTTCCTTCCCCGAGACACTTTGAGCAATATCATGCATGAGATCATGTATTTTACATGAGATGATCTCACCGAATTTATCTCTATTGACATCTTGGAAGAAACATCTCCTTAACAAAATCGAAAAATATTCCTCGCCAGCATCTTCAATGCTTTGACCTTCATCCAATGGAACAATATAACCCTGTGCCATCCATAGGCTTATCAAGTCATCCTTAAAAAACAGAAAATCCTTCGGAAACAAAGCACAATAGCTGAAGCAACTCTTTAATGGAGATTCAAGATGATGAAAACTCAACTTCAATATGGGGATAATGCCATTTTCACTCTCCCTGATGTTGGCTAATCCAATCTCCTGAACTGATTGCCACTTACTCTTGTCTTGACCATACAAAAGACTGCCTACAATTTTTATTGCAAGTGGGACTTGAGCACATTTATCAACAATCTCTAGGCCAATCTCAACCAAGTTATGGTTGTACTTATCTGGTCCAAAAGCTGTCCTTTCAAACAAGTGCCATGAATTTTCCTTTGACAAGCCTTGCAGCTCATACATTTGACCACCTCCTATAATTGTTGCAGTTTTTTGCGAACGTGTAGTCACCACAATCCAACTTCCTCTTTGACCTCCAATCAAGTATTTTACCAATTCACACCATTGATCACGGTTCTCAGTCCATACATCATCTAAAACAAGCAAGTATCTTTGGCTTGCTAGTTGTTCACGAAGTTGGCTTTGCACTTGATCCATGGTGGAACCCTCGTGCTTCTGGCCAGTGGCTAATGCCAAAATCTTTTGAAGAATCCCAGCAATGTCCAACTGTTTCTGAACTTCATCAGAGACACAAGTCCACAACCTTAATGGAAATGCAGTTATGACCCTTGGATCGTTAAACACAAGTTGAGCTAGAGTAGTTTTGCCCAATCCTCCAATTCCCACAATAGAAAGGAAAGTAACATCACCCTGAACATCAGAAGCTAAAAGCATACTAACAATTTTCTCCAAGTCATCCTCTCTTCCTATGATTTCAGCAGCATCCACATAAGAACAGGTCTCAAGCCTTCTCTTCCTGATAGGTTCAGGATCATGCTTAAAGTAAAAACGAGTGTTGGAAGCGATAGCATCCAACTTCATCTTGCTCTCCTTAACCCCTTGAGACATCCTGTAAGCAACTACTAGTGGGTTGGAACCAGAAAAGAAGCGACGCAATTTTTCAGATACTCTACCATCAGCCTCCAGGAGTTGCTTCTGCTGAACCAGGGTAGCGAATTCATCCAACAAATCATCGGCTTCAAAGACTGCATTCTTGAGCTCCTCGATCTGAAGCTTTTCTTGATGGGATAACTCCTGCTTAGTCTCTGCATCACGGAGCACAGCAGTGATGGCTTCAATACTGTGTTGAAGGTCATCAACTCCAAGTTTTGATTTGGAGCATGAGAGTATCTCTTTGAGCTGCGAGCATTGCAGTGCTGCAAACAGTGTTTGAGCAGCAGATAGGGCCGTGCCTACGATGTCCATTATTCGATAAAACACAATCACAATGGTGTTTGGAATGAATGAATGAATGAATGAACGAACGGTGATTAGCTTATCAAGTACACAAAATTACAATACGATCACGATTATTACAATTACAATACAATGCTAGTTAGCAATTGCCAACTGTAAAGACAAAGGGTATAAGTCAATTAAAGATGTTTCAAAGTATTCGATACACAACTTTAAAAAGCAAAAGTACTCATTACATATTTCATACAGCACTCAGTAAAAGTTATTTTCCATTTTTCCTTGAACTTGCTTGTTTCTTTCTTGGATATTTCCCTTGTCAATTAATACCACTTTAACAAATAGATATTCATTTGTTTGAAGACTGATTGAAATTAAAGTCTGCCCTTGTAAGTGTTCAGTGGAATATGTAACAGTATGCTTTAATCTATATACCCAAAACAGGTACTCCATACTTTAATTTTTAAAAATAATAATATCCAATGATTTGTAATAACAATAACAAGAAAAAGAAAATTAAAGGGATAAATTGACATAACTTAGGAAAATATGAATCTGACCTCCATCAATGTTAATCTGAGGACACAATAAAGGCAAATCATAGTCTTTGACGGCATCTGACACTGCGCCTCCATCCTCATTTGCTGTATGGCAATGATGTGTTTAACCAAATTCAATTACTCAATATTTCATGAGTACATTGGATGAATTGGGGAAAATTAAGGAAATTATTTGTATTTTACATATTGTTGTAGACTTGTGCCGTTGTGGCCTGAGGGTACACGCCTACACGAATTCTTTTCAATTTCATGAGCAAATTGGATCTCTATCTTGTCATTAGAGGTGGCCAGTGGGCCGGGTTGGACCCAGCCCACCCTAACTCGCACGGCTGGTGGGTCACGTGGGTCCGACCCGGTTTCAATCCGGCACAGCCCGGCACAGCTCGGATTTAATCCGGGTTGTGTCGTGGGTCCAAAATTTTCGACACAACCCATTTCAACCCAGCTCAGTTTAACCCGTTTGATTCGACCCAAATCGCACAACCCGTTTTGACTCATTTAATTCGACACACCTAGCCCGTGAACCCACCTAACCCGACCCACCTGGCACAACCCAGCCCGCACGGCCCACCCGCACGAATGACCCACCCAACCCGCACGAGCCAACCCACCTAACCCGCACGCATGACCCACCCAACCCGCACGCATGACCCACCCAACCCGCACGGCCGGCACAACCCGCACGGCCCGCACAGCCCGCACAATTCGCACGACCCGCACGGCCCGCACGGCCTAACATCCATTTTAAAAAAAAAAACGGCTAGTTTTTTGTATCTAACGGCTAGTTTTTTGTATCTAACGGCTAGTTTTTTAAGTGTATGATCATCCATTCTATTTTTCCTATAAATACCAATTCCATTTCACTCAAATTTCCACACAAATTCAAGCTTTCTTTCTCTCTTACTTAAAAATTCTTATTGTTCTCAAATTCTCAAGTGTTATATAGAGTTATATTTTTGTTAAAAAAAATCTCCTTAATATTATTATTAGTATTCTTAAGATTCTAAAAAAAAAAAAGTTCTTCTCCATATTATAATTAGTAATCATACAAAAAAAAAATGAGCTCAAGAGGAGGAATGGGAAGGAGTCAAAGTGGTGGTCGAAGTGGTAGCCAAAGGAGTGGTGGTGCAAATTTTTCGTATGAAATTAATACGGAAAATTTAAACCAATTTGTCAATGAATATGGAGATTATGGTTTAGGAGATAGGCAAAATATTCAAACGTCTCCACCACAACATTTCTCCCACGAGTCCCACCAATCATCAAGTTCAACTATGCCACCTCCATCGCAACCAACATCTCAACCTTCATCTCAAGGTAATTTCTAATTAAATTTTTATTGTTATGAATATTTAAAAAAACTATTATTAATGATTATGAAGTTAGTTTAGTTTCCAATTTTCTATGATTTACAATTAGTTAATTACCATGAAAAATGCGTTTAAATAAGTATAATTAAAATATTTAAAATTTAAAAGCTTATTTTCATGAATAGCATTTAAAAATTAATTTTAATAATTTGATTTATGAAAGGTGGTGGCGGTGAAAGTAGAGGTCGAGCACATTTTTCTTGGGTGTGGAAACATTTTGAACGAGTTGAGGTCACACCCCCGGGATGGCAACCTGGTCAACCAAAGAGGTTCACGTGTACATGCCTAGTTTGCAAGGCGCTAGGTGCAAATGTCAAGTCATATAATTGGAAAACGGGAGATGGAACCGGAACCTTGAGTCGGCATTTGCAAAATAAACACGACTTGTTCGAAAATGGCCCCCGTCCTTCGGGGGGTGGCGTCCAAACACAATTGGGTGGATACATGAACCAACCCGGCGGAGGTACACCTTTCATTTATAATAAAGATAGAATGATTGATGAAATGAGTACTTTAGTTATTGCTAATGAATACCCTTTTAGTTACGGTGAAAATGCAAACGTTGAGCATTTTAATAAAGTTGCATTACAACCTGCATTTACTCGTGTCCCCCGAAATACCCTAAGACGTTATACACAAACTTCTTATTATAAGTATAGGAGTGGTTTGATTGAATTATTTCGTACTTTTGATGGTCGTGTTAGTTTTACAAGTGATACATGGACTTCTAGTTTTGGCGAACCTTTTCTTTGCATTACTGCTCATTGGGTGGATGATGATTGGTTTATTCAAAAACGTATACTATGTTTTCAAGCTATGGAAGAAAGGCATACCGGTTTTAACATCAAAGTTCGTATTTTGGATTGTTTAAAAGAATTTCACTTGAATAATAAAGTTTTTTCTTTGTCTCTTGATAATGCAACTGCAAACACAAAGTGTATTGACTATTTGAAAAATGACTCCGAGTTGAATTTGTTGTTGGGTGGTAGTCTCTTGCATGTTAGATGTTGTGCTCATATTTTGAATTTGTCTGTTCAAGAGGGTCTCGCTGAGTTGCAACCATTGCTAAACCCAATTAGAACAGTTATAAAATGGATTAGGATTACTCAGTCAGTTAGAAGAAAGTACATAGCTATGTGTAAAGAGAGAGGTCTTAAGAAAAGACAATGGTCTATTGATACCCCTACCCGTTGGAATTCTACTTTCAAGTTGTTGAGTGATGCTATAAAGTATCGTGATATTTTGACCCAACTTTACAATGAGACTCGTGTTGATCCTACTGAGTTAATAACCGAAAGTCATTGGACTAATGCTTCTTTTGTTCGTGATGTTTTAAATGCTTTTGATAGTGCAACTCATATTTTCTCTTATATTTATGAGCCTAACGTTCATTTAGTCATAATTGAGTGTGTTAAAGTTGTTCACACCATCGAAGAGCATATGAAGATTGATGGACTTCGTCCCGTTCTTGATAGCATGAAACGTAAGTGGCATACTTATTTTAGTGAATTTCCAATCATTTATGGAATTGCTGCTATTCTTGACCCCGGTGTCAAAGCTGAAGGTTTGGAAAATCTTTTAGAATTTTATTATACAAGTTTAAGTATCGATTATGATGTTAGTGAATATATTAACAAATGCAAATCTGTTTTGGGAGACCTTTATGATCATTATGCATCTATTTATGGTTTTGATTTGGCAACACCAACTACTACTAGCACTTCCGATTCTAGATTTGGTTTTCTTGATAAAGTTATGAAAAAAAAAACACAAAGCATCTACATCATTCTCATCATCATCTTCTTCAACACTTGCTATTAATGATTATTTGTCATATCAACATGAGACCAACAACAACTTTCAAATTATAAAATGGTGGCAAGAACATAAAAAAAGTTTTCCTATATTGGCGAGAATTGCAAAAGATATACTTGCAGTTCCCGCTTCATCTGTTGCTTCCGAGTCTGCTTTTAGTGCAGGTAGAAGAGTGTTAGATGAAAAAAGATCTCGCTTAACTCCGGAAAGCATTCAAATTTGTGTTTGTAAGAAAGATTGGGATCAAGCTGAAAGAAGAACTCAAGGTTTAAAGGAAGACGAAGACGATGAAGATGATCCTGTGATGATATTGGAGTCGTCAACGGATGATGCAGCTTCCGGGGATGATGATGCAACAAACATGGGTGGCTAGAAAAGTCTAAATCAGGTACGCTAAGAACTACGTGGGCTTTGATTCTTTCGGGATACGTAGGCAACTTATTTTTCGAAAATTACAATTTAATTGCAAAATTAAATTTTAGTTTTCTAAAGATAGGTCCAAGCCCCCCCCCCCCCCCAAATTTCAAAAGAAGTACAATATAAGAACTACGCTGGCTTTGATTCCTTATTTTATAATATAAGGATACGTAGGCATCTTAATTAAGAGCAAGCCATCAAATTGTTAATTTTGTAAAAATTAAAACACCACACAACCCACCCGACCCTAACCCACGAACCCACCCGACCCTAACCCACCCGACCCTAACCCACCTAACCCACAAACCCACCCGACCCTAACCCACTAACCCACCCTTCGACCCACCCTAACTCACTAACCCACCTTGACCCGTCTAACCCACGAACCTAGCTCGACCCACCCATGACCCGTCTAACCCACAAACCCAGCTCGACCCACCCACGATCCGTCTAACCCACAAACCCAGCTCGACCCACCCACGACTCGTCTAACCCACGAACCTAACCCTGGTGTGTCCAACTTCTCCGACCCAACCCACGACCCGGCCCACCCTACCCTACGTGTGTCGTGCCGTGTGTCATGAAACCCCAACCCGCGACCCACCTAACCCTAACCCAGCTCGCACGACTCGCACGGTGGACACCTCTACTTGTCATATTACATCCATTTTAAATTATTTGCAATACTTCAGTATTTAACGTAAAGTGTGTGTTGAAAATGTCTAATTGTTGCAAATAATTAGAAACGGTATTTGTTTTAAGTTGTTTTGGGTGAAAATATTCTCAATCTCTTTTTTTTATTATTTTATTTATTTATTTATTTATTTTTTTAAAAAAATTCTACACTTTTTTAATTAGTTGATTTTATTTCTTGAAAAAAAAAAAAAAAAAAAGTTGATTTTATAGTTGCAATAATTGCTCAAATGACACATTCTATAGTCTACAGTCTACACTACACTAATTTATAGTAATACTCGTATATCTCTCCTTACATGGTATTAGTCCTAAGTTGCTAACCTAATTACACTTTCTTAATCTTTCTCTTTTCACATCTCTTACTTTTACATAAACTATTTATCCATCATTTTTTTTTTTACTTTGTATAATTTTATAACTCTCTAACAAACCTGACTTACACAATATTTTAAAAAATTCAACCGTACATGCCGGTCAAACTTATATTATGAGTACATTCATTAAGTTCACAAAACTTTACCTACTACGTAATAACTTTCTAGTACAGAAATTTACCTTATGAAAGTCTGAAACTCAATTTTCAGACAAAAATGACAAACAACTTGTGCTAGCTCAAAAGTTTTAGGAGCACCATATATCAATGATCAGACTGAGTAGGCAACCTTGCTTGTTTTACATAACCATTACATTATTTGCTGGCCCATAATAGTATAGCCTTTATAATTTGTGTTTACACTGCAGAATCCTTGGATATAATTACCAATTTACTATCAGTAGTTTTTAATACAGTGGATAATTACATATTAACAGACATATTCACATATCACATGTTATAGCAGAATAAAATTATCAGTTATACAGTAGTTGATTTCCAAATTACAGATTTATTATAGCAGGAACTTTCAAGGTGAAAACTTCTGCA